TTTTTTTTTTTTTTTTTTTTTTAAGACAACATTATAAATTAATAAGTTTATAATGTATATAAGTTATAAAATTATAATTATAAGTTTTATAAGGTAACTTATAAGTTTATAACTTATAAGTTATAAGTTATTAAGTTATGAATTTTATAATTATAAGTTGAATGTTTATGTTTTATAATTTGTATATTCAATATTTATATTTATATATTTACTTTATACTATTACTTTAAAATTTAATGTTTATGATTTATTAGTAATTGGTATAATTTTATTTTTTTTTAATATGAATTTACAAATTGTAACAAAACAGGGAAAAAAGGCAAATTGGACTTTGGATGTGAATAATGCGTACTTTATATTATTATTACTTGAGTTGAGAAAATTGTACAATGATAACAATGATAAAAATCATACAATGATGGTATTAAACAAAAATTGGAAAATGATAAAATTGATATTTTTAAAATCGTACAATATACAATAATTGTCTATTCTTCTTCTCCTTCTTCTTGCTCGTCTTCGTCTTCGTCTTTGTCTTTGTCTTCGCCTTCGCCTTCAAGGTCATCGACTAGTTGCATAGATTGGGAACTAGCCGAACCCGAACCGGAAGCGGAGGTTCCTTCTTCGTTGTCGTTGTGGTCGTAAGAACGGTTTTTTGAGCGATTTTCCGCATCCAACCAATCTTTGAAACACACGCACATTTCTAGTGTTTCGGGTTTTAGACTTGTTCTTCTATCGTCTAAAACCCTTCCGGATGCGCTGAAAGCTCGTTCGGAGGCGACGGAGGAAACTTGGATAGCAAGAATGTCTCGTGCCATTGCCGCCAAAGTTGGATGCTTCGAGCTTTGTTGTTTCCACCATGCAAGGAGGTCGAGGCTGTTTATCTCATCGTCGTCCATGCCTTTGGTGAAGTCGTAACTCAGGTACATCTGCAACTCCGAGACGTCGCTTTGCGTTCTCCTGATTGATGAATCACCTGAAAACCTTGAAATCAAGTTAGTAGCTTGTGAAAATAAATGTTTGGCCTTCTTACTTACGTTTTTGGATGGTTGGGAAAGCCCTGAGCGAGGAACGGTGCCATATTTGGCTTCATAGACTCTATATAAAGCAAAAAAACTGATCCTTCACATTAGTCTTATAGTTTTCTACATCATCGTCAAGAAACATGCATTGAAAGTAAATGTCAACTAACATAAATGTGTTTTCATACTTTTGCCTAGGATCTAATATGGAAGCAAAAATATAAATCAAAGGAATCTCACTATAATATTTACGCCACTTTTTTTCCATTGCTGGAAGATACTGATCATAATCACTTTGATGGCGATGATCTGCGAAAAGTTGGGCGAGTAAGCATGCATTAGAAAGAAAGTTTTGAGCACAAGGATTGTAAACAGTAGAAAAACAATACGTCATGTTATATAATAACTGTAAAAATTGCATATATCTTTCACAGTTTTTCCAATCATCATCATACAAAGCATTTTGTGGAAATTTTTGGTTGTAAAATAATGTTAACGGGCCCTTGTACTCAATTGCCTTTGTTAACATGTCATAGGTGGAATTCCACCTAGTTGGGCAATCGGTTCTAATTTTTATTACCCTTATCTTTTGTTGTTTTAGAAAACTCTTCCATTCTTGGTATCTCATGTTAGAGCTATTAATAGACATAATAGCATCTCTGATTTTGCTGTAGTATGGGCCAATTGCCCGAACTCCATCCTGTACACATAAGTTAAGTACATGGCAAACACATCTAGTATGAAGAGCTTCACCGTCTAATAGTACATCGGTTAAGTTTTGTTTGATAAGATTAGCTGTGTATGTAATAGAGGTTGCATTATCAAAAGTCATAGACATCATTTTATCTCGAAGGTTGTATTCGTCTATTGCTTGCATTAAATGGTGAGCAATGTTAATGCCGGTGTGTGGGTATTCCAGCATTTTGAAATGTATTATTCTTTTTTGTAACATCCATTGATCATCTACCCAATGGAAAGTCACACATAAATAGTGATATTTATAACCACTATCCCAAGAATCGGCTGTTAAAGATACTCTACAGTTAAGGTTACTCAATTCGGCTTGTAACCGGACTTTGTACTCTAGGAAATTTTTCATTGCGGCGGAACGAACGGTTTTCCTAGAGATTCTTTTATGTTGGGGTTGTAGTGCTTTGTTAATGTAGGTGTTGAATGCGTCACTTTCCGAGAAAAGAAAAGGTTGTTCGGCGTGTACTATCATTTTTCCTAGTTCATCCCTATCCCTCTCATAGTTGTATGTAAAGTCGTATGGATGAAATTGGGAAATTTTGGGCTGGGTTGGATCACTAGCTGGTTTTGCACAAGCTTTCATGTGTCTAGATAAGTGTCCCGTCCCGTTTTTGGTAACTGCCGTGAATACACTATTACATGTTTTACATTTTGCCCATTGTTCACCATCTTTACTTAGGACAAAATAACGCCATACCTCACTCCTTCGGTTTTTCAAAAGTAGCATCTCAGTTTCGGTTAACCATTCATGATGTGTGTGATGGTTAGTAGTGAGACTAGTGGGAGTGGCAGTAGAAGGGGTAGAACCGGAGGGAATTCGGGTACTTTCTTGGCTACCTTGGCTAGAACAATAGTTTTGTTGATCACCGATATAATTAGGTGGAAATGGTATGGTGGTAGTGGAAATTGGTTTAGTGGTGGTGCTGGAAATCCCGACGTATTATATGGCTCATAGCTCGGGGGGAAGTAAATGGGGTCATTGGTTTGACTCGTAATTTGGGGGCTCGTTGTATTTGGTGGTTCCCTAGAACTACTGCTACGGATAAGTCGGCCTTTCCCCCTAGACCTAGATGATGGGTTGTTCGATGCCATAATTAACAATTAATTTTTTAATAAAAAGTGGTTAGCTATAATAATAATAATTAATAACAACAATTTTAACAATAAAAATATCAATAATAATAATTAATAACAACAACTATAACAATAACAATAACAACAAAAATAAATAATAACAACAATTGTAACAATAATAATAATTAATAACAACAATTATAACAACAACAATAACAATTAACAACAATAATAATTAAACAAGATTATTCTAATAATAACAATTAAACAATAATAAATTTAAGATTAGTTTAGATCTTACAACCGTGCTTCAACGCTCCACTAATTACGATTACGAACTTTTTAATTTTTTCCGATATTAGGAAAATAATTAGAGAATTTAAGAGAATAATTAGAGAATTTAAGAAAATAAGGATTATTAGAGATTTAGAGAATATAAGAGATAAGAAGAAGAGATTGTGATTTTGTGATTTGGGAATGAAATGGAGGTGAGTATTTATAGAATTTTTGGGGAGCAAATTGGCAAAAAACTAGCCGTTTTTTAGCCGTTTTTTTGGCTTATTAGAGCTAGAATAAACGGTAACATTACCGTTGGCCCGCGGGCCGTGCCTGCGGGCCATGCCCGTGCTCGTGCCGGGCCATGCCTGGGAATTCTCAACCCTGTCCGTGGCACGGCCCGTGGCACGGGTGTTGAACTTCGTGCCGTGCCGTGCTTGAATTCGGGCCGTGCCGGGCTGCGCCGAACGGCGGGCCGTGCCGGGCGGCACGCGGGCCAACCCGGCCCGTGCCCAGGTTTACATGTAACCTTCAATTCATACACAAGATGCCTAACTACCAAAATAAGTCATATTTATGTTTTATTCTGAAAACAAAATATTAATTTATAGGGAATGATATTAGGAATAACAAATTTAATAACAAGAATTAGATATAGGTTGACAAAAAAAAAAAAGGTATTAGTTATTTGTCTGATCCCATGATAGGGAACTGTAATGTAACCATCCAGTTTTCATTTCTGAATCTGAATTAGCCCAAGCCCCAAAGGGTAAACGAAGTGAGGAAAAAAAAAAGAAGACATTGGTTATTTTTTATGCCTTAGTTTTATAATTTTTTTTTTATATTATTATTTTTTTATTTTTTTATTATTATGGAATATTTGTCTAGAATGGACATATATGTTCACCTATTTGTTTGGAAGGACCTTATAAATTTAAAGTGGTGAGAAAGGACATTATAAGTCTATTTTGTTGTTTGGGCTGACCTTGAGGTCAGAATCCGACCATTGACTTTTCTTCTCTGGCGTTGACCTCACACGTGACTCTTATTTTACCTTAAAAAATGACCCTCCCCTTAATTTTTCCCACATTTTCCCTTCATTTCCCCCTTTTCCCCCAAATTCTCTCTCTCCTCAATATGTTGTTCCAAACCCTAGATCTACTTATCCCTTTCCATGTCCACAAAATTAAAGATTCTTACAGCGGCTCATTATGCTTAAAAACAAAACCACAAAATTTGAGGAGTCCACAAAGTCCCCAAATTACGATGTTCAACCACAAAATTTGAGAAGCAATTACATTAAAAACCTTAATTTTGCAAAATATTTCAATTACAAATAAATTAAAGAAAAAAAACCACACACATTAACCTTACCTGGTGCAAAACGTACTTAATTGAAGTAATGGAATAAATTTGGTCGACCTTTGAATAGAGAATTGAAAGTATTAAGGTTTGGAACCCACGATTTTGAGGAGAGAGAGAAATTGGGGGGAAATTAGGGCAAAAAAGGAGAAATGCGGGAAAAACGTGGAAAAAAGTAAGGAGTAGTCATTTTTTAAGTTCACGTGACATCACGTGAAAGGTCAACGCTGGAGGAAAAAAGTCAATGGTCAGATTCCGACCTCAAGGTCCCTCCAAACAACAAAGTAGACTTATCAGGTCCTTTCTCACCACTTTAAATTTAAGGACTTTTCACCATATGCCCCCGAGTTATTTTTTTATTCACCCATGAAAATTTTCAAATTCAACATATACACTGAAGTTTCACAAAATTGTCACAAAATTAATGGCAGTTAATTCCGTTAGTCATTAACGTTAAGTCCGCCACGTTGAGGCATATTGTTGATTATTAAAAAATATTTTATTAATTATTTTTAAAAAAAAAAAAGAAAAAAAGTAAACCACCTCCAACCACCTTTTGTTACGCTAGGCCACCTCCCCACCACCGCCACCCTCCTCGCCGCTGGCGGTAGATCCCCTTCCCCATCGCGCTGACGTCGGCACCACCCATTCCCCCAAGCCTTTCTCCTTAAACCGTATAAAATTAAACCACAACCCCTTAAACTGTAAAACCTTTCCCCACTTTTATACCTTCGTTTAAAACTAGCCACCACCTCGAAACCCTTCACCGACAAAACTGATTCCCTCCTCCCACATCGTTGCTGCCCAATTTGGTTGAAAACACCACCTCAAAATCCTAAATCCCAAAATTAAAACCCTAGGTTTGAATTTTGGGTTTTTTTCTTTCGGGTTTGGCATAGTGTTTGAGAGGGTTGAGATGGCATGAGGAGGGGCGATTTGGGTTCAGCGGCACAAGGAGGTGGGTGTGGAAGTCGACGGTGGGGAGGGGAGGATTTTTCAAGGGAGAAAATGGGGTTTTGAGGTTGAGGTTGAGGGAAGGGTGGTTCAAGGGAAGGAAACGACGCCTAGGTTGGGTTGCTAGTGCGGTGTGGTTGGGTTGGGTCGTCATCGGCACGAGTGGTGGTTGGGGTTGGGTCGTCAGCGCAGGTGGTGGTTGGTGGCTAGGGGTGGCTATGGAGGGTTGGATTTTTTTTATTATTAATCAAATAATTATTTTAAACTTTAATTTATTTAAAATCCAACCAATAAATTATGCCACTTGGCATACTTAACACTAATGACTAATAGATTTAACGTCCGTTAGTCAATTGAGCATTTGGTGACATTTTTATTAAGTTTATAAGTATATGGTGAATTTAAAATTTTTCATGGGTATATGGTGAATAAAAAATAATTTGGGGGCATTTGGTAAAAAACCGTTAATTTTATAAGGTTTTTCCAAACAAATAAGTGAACATATATGTCCCTTTTAAACAAGTTTTCCTTTTATTATTTCAAATGCTTGCTTAAGCTTTTGTTTAACTCTAATTTTGCTTTCTTAGGCTTTTGTTTAACCCAATTACAGTCTCCTCCGCCAATACAATATCATTTACAAAACTTACATGGAAATAAGCACATTTACAAAAATCATAAGGGATATCACACTATCATAGTACCAAATAAGCACATTTTTTGTACCAAAAACAAATATATTGGAACCAACTTGAATTTAGGCCTATTTTTTGTACCAAAAGCTCCCCCCGTCCCTCGCCGAAAATTCCCTCCCCCGAAAAACTCCCCACTCCCGCAAAAACCCAAAAAATTCACCCCCTTCCCCATAAAACAGCCAGTCGGCCCTCCTCCCACCCTCGCCCGGCTGTATGGGGAAGGGGGTGGTGAGTTTTTGGGGTTTTTGCTGGAGTGGGGAGTTTTTCGGGGGAGGGGATTTTTGGCCTAGGATGGAGGAGCTCTGGCACTGGCGAGGGAGGGGCAGCGAGTGGTGGGATAGGGGCGGTGAGTGGTATGGTGGCTGGAGAAGGTAGATAATAGGTCTTGTGTGGTGGTGGTGTGGTGGTAGCTTGTTTCCCTTTGTTATACAAAACAAACAACTTAACAAATTCCTTTCCTTTCCCTTTATTCATTCCATTTCGAGTACCCCATGCGAACCAAACTGCCCCTGAATGTGTACAATAATTATGTCAGAATTAACTGCGGCCAACTCTCTTCCATCACGGCTCTCGAAGCCTGAATCCATTTTTTTTTTCTAGCGTCTTCTCTAACACTATCAAGCCATCTACAAAACCACCCAAGTTTAAATAGTCACTAGAGCCCATTACATTCTTTGTTCACTTTTAATCAACTAATCCCACTATCTTACTTGTTATACACAACTTTAATCTACCAAACCCCATTACGTTTTTTTTTTTTTTTTTTTTTTTTAAATTAATTTTTTTTTTTTTACCTTTAATCAACTAAATCCATCTATGTTATCATTTTATACCTTCCTAAAATGTGTGTAAAGACAAATGAAATGTTTAATTGGGGATGGAGGGAGCATAATTTAGATTGGAAGCTAGTCTACCAAAGAAATACCGCAAAAACCTAAGGCATCACCACCCCATTTAAACCTTCCTTTCTCTCATTCAATCAATCGCCTGCTGCGGCCAACACAGGTAGGATAAACGAGGGTATTTCTGGTGGTTTTGGTTGGGAGCTGGAGATGGTAGACAGAAGGAGATAATCGCGGGGGGTGGGGGGGGGGATGGAAGCGCCTGAAAGATAGTGGCAGTATCTAATTTCAAGAAATTTTTCGGCATAAAAAAAAAAAAAAAAAAAAAAAAAAGCAAAATACTATTCTGATATGAGTAACGACTGCCTGCAGTACAACTCTAATTGTTTTTTTTTTTCTCATCTCCATTACCTTTATAATCATTTACATGAAAGGGTAGAAAAGTGTCCACCAAGACAATCTAGTGACTAAATTTGATTTGAGATGAAATCATTATCAAGCATTCTGTTCAACGAAAGTAATCTGAAATCAACTTAATACACCTTATTACCCCTGAATTTCACCTTATATTTACAAACTATCGGACCAGATCAACCCAGCTAAGGACTGATTAGACCTTGATTAATGATAATAAATCACTTATTGGTTAATGATATTACTTGAACTTAGTTTATAAGATACATCAAATGATGTGGGAGAGAGCAAAGTGGTGCCTCAAGGGTTGTGTTTAAATCAAATTCATCGGTACTCAACTCCTCATATACCTATCATATTGTTTTGTTTATGACTTTGTACATGTAATGGAAGAACTGTTAAGATTTTTATATCATCCTTGCAAACAATTTACAAAAATTAAAGCATACACCAAAGAAAACACTTACAGCAACACCAACTATAATCTCACGCTGTTATGACCCATTTTGGGACAACTTCAGCTTAAGATCCTTCAAAGCATCTACAACTTCTGTATCCAAATTGTGTTTCAGCAATTTCCCTTGCATGGAAGTCGATCTGAAAATTAACTTTGGAATGAGATTGTACATCTATAATATGGAAAAACAAGTATGCAAGCATGACAAACGATCAAGTCTACTAGAATTTGAAGCTGCTTAAAAGGTAAAGTTGCACTGCAGCAACATCACATTTTACATAAATGACACACCTCTGCTCTTGAAGCATTCTCTCCATCTCCTTTGAAGCCTTTATCTGCAAACCATAGCAAATTCTAAAGTGAGACAATAATGAAACCATGTCATCTATAATACATACATAAATAAAAGTAGTGATAATAATAAATAAATAAATAATAAAATGGAAAATAGATGATATCTAGCCCATTTAAATTGGTGGAAATCAAAATAGATTCTCAACTATCAGAAACCCAGATTTTTTTTGGTTAAACAGTGTTGGAAGATCAAAAAAATACCCATTAGAAAGAGAAAAGAGCTAGAAAGATTGGTGACTGGGTTTTTTCTGTTTCTGGGGCCCAATCTGTTTGATGAAATGTAAATATACTTCAAAAAGCTATTCAGGAAGACAAATATAATGTCAAGTTGATATCATCCAATGATGGCATGCTCCATCAGAATTCAACATTCTCACAATATCGAACTACAAAGACTTGTTCATAACTAGCACCTTGAATTTACATGTAACTAGGTTTTAAGACTGGGCAATACCCTTACAAATTAATCAGATATTGCATGGTTCAGTGGTTATAAATTTAATTTACAAACTTGAGGCTTTAGGTCAAGTCTTGCACAAAACATGTATGTTCAATAATTTCAATTGTATGTGAATCACAAAGTAAGATATCTAGTGGCTTCTAAATTTATTTAGGAATACTTTTTAATATACTAGTACAGATGGTTTGCTACAAATCTTGCTTGTATCGATCAATACTTTTTAATATATTAGTACAGATATTTTCACCAAATCGTTTTTCTTCATCAAAATAATTTTACTCTTTCCTAGCATCTCCAATCTTCTTTTCCAATGGGTTCCTAAGTTGACGAGTTCATGATTAGCACATAGGCAAAATAAATCGACTTCGTCAACTTCATTTCTGTCACCGTAGATGTGTGAGTGTGTTCGAAGATGAGGCTGATATTTCATTATATTTATTAAGTGGACACATTTATGACCTAGTGAGTGAGTGTTGATTGGGTTTTTGTGGAACTTGTATCAAAAAGTTAAGTATAATTTTGATATTTAAGTCCAACCAACTCTTAACAAGCAAGATGGATGTGTTCAAAGATGAGGCTAATCCTTCAAACATGAGTTGGTTCTACTTTTGAAGCCAAAGTGGATACATTTGGTACAATTTGTATGGATCTCCTTTCAATAGCTTAAATATCATTGTAATATTTAAGCCCAGCCATTTATTTACCAAGATGCAATTAATTAGGAACTTATCTCATAACCTTTGGCCACGAGGGAGGACGAATCTCATAGACGAAACTTTGTGGGGATCCCTTTACCAGTTTACCCTTCCCTCCACTTCCAAAGTTATAGCTCACGAAATTTGGACTGAGTAAACGTGACAATTGATATTTATCTTGGATTTACCTTAACCCAACGAATAAAATTAAGAAGTCCAACCACTTCTCTTTCCTTAGTTTAATAATCCCAATCCCATTCCCATTTCCAAAATCCACCTTTATTAAAGATTACATCTCTACTCAAACTTGTTTTTTTTAGAGAATAATATTGTAAAGAAAGCAAGCTTCAAATTGCATGCTTCACATTGTGTATAATTGTACATGCCTTTCATCCAGTTAATACGCACTATTAGCCTCAATGACTTTTTATTTCTTCCTCAAGTCATACTCCCTCCTTTTTAAATACTTTTCCACTTTCCTTTTGCGGCCGTTTTTAAATACTTGCTCCATTTCCTTATTTGGAAAGTTTTTATAATATTTAATTCATTTCTCTCAACTAGTGGACCCAATTTTATTACTTTTAGATTCTCTCTCCTCAAATTTACCTTCCACCAACCCCACTATCTCCATATTTTAGTACTTTCTCCAATTTCTCCTAAAACTCCGCGCATGGAGAAATGGAGCTAGTATTTAAAAACGGAAGGAGTAGATGTTTAACCTTCAGCTTCTCACCAATTCATGTGGTGCAATATATCTTCAAGCTCTTTCCACGGACTGTTACTAGAGCATAAGTTGTCCAGGAAAGAGATTTTTTTAATTGCTTTAATAATCCTCAGTTCTTTCAATTTGCTAATGCTAATTATGCTACAAAAAAAACTCTTACCATATTTTCACAATCCTCTTTTATAAATACAAAATTTAAGTTTATAAGGGTGTGTTAAAAAGGTAACAACAATTTTATATTTTGTAAGCTACAAATAAAATCATTGCCTAGTAATTAAAGGTTTGGTTGACAATAATAATTATCATTGTTTCTCTTCTACTTATTAGCACTCCCATAAAAGGGTGAATTGTAATTTCACTTTAACCCATTAAATTGTCAAAGACTGATTTTTACACACTATAATTGTAATTAATTAACAGTAATCTTGGAGGTAAGCTTGAGTACTTTGATTAATAAATGAACTAAGGGGTTACAAGATAGAAATAGCTTTAGGCTATTAATCTCAAGCAGCTTTAGGCTACAACTCTCATGAGGTTACTCTCAACAATTTTCTGGATAAGTGGCTACTACATTCAACATTACCATTTATACTCAAGCACTAACATAACCAAAAACTAATAATAGTTGACCTCCACAGCATAGGGAACACAATCTTTTTGCCATTGTTACTAAAGTAGTGAATCCTCCTTTTCGAACTTGTCTTCTTTCCTGAATTAGCTTCCTTGACAAAAGCTAACGCTCCTCTTGTTCCTCCAATTGTATCTCAGCTTCTGTCTTTTTTCTTTGGTTACCGTTGGTGTTGACTTGCCCATGAGCCTGACCCACATTACTCTTCTTGGCCCTTCGTTGATAGACTTAATGGGCTGGCCCAAATACGGATCCATCACATTACCCCGCCTCGAGATTCACCTTGTCCTCAAGGTGGAAGGACGGAAAACGCTCCGCTAAGGTGGCTGCATCTTCCCAAGTGGCTTCGAATTGAGGGAGCCCCTGCCATTTGATTAACACCTCTGGCTTCGCATCCTGCCCTACCGCTCTAGCTTCCAACACGGCCTCGGGCTCTACCACCAACTCCATCTCAGCTGTGAGTTGGGGAGGTATGGTCGGATTCACCGGAGTGTCTCCAATTGCGCGCTTGAGTTGCGAAATATGGAACACTAGGTGAATCTTGCAAGTGGGAGGCAGAGCTAAGCGGTACGCCACCTTCCCAATTCGCTCCTCCACCTGAAATGGGCCATAGTAGCGCGCCCCCAAATTTTCATTAGGGCGGATGGCTAAGGAACGCTGCCGATACGGCTGGAGTTTGAGGAATACCCTGTCGCCGACCTTGAATTGCTCATCTCGCCTTTTTTTGTCAGCGTACTCCTTCCTTAATTGTTGGGCTTTGAACAAATTAACCCTCAACTCATCGAGCATCTCATCCCTTACCTTCAACGTCTCCTCCACCTGGTCCACCGGAGTCTGCCCTCGCCCTAAACGCCACAACTTGGGCAGATCCCGCCCATACACCACCTTAAACGGGGTGAGCTTGGTGGAGGTATGAGGGGAAGTATTGTAGGCGTATTCGGCCCAATGCAGCCAATACGCCCATTTCTTGGGTTGATCGAAGATGAAACATCGCAAATACGACTCTAGTCCCTTGTTTACAATTTCCGTTTGGCCATCCGATTGGGGATGGTAAGACGTACTTCGCTTGAGATGGGTGCCCTGTAACCGGAACAACTCTCGCCAGAAAATACTCATGAACACCTGATCTCGATCGGAGACGATCGTGGAAGGAAATCCGTGCAGCCGCACTGCACAAAGTGGTCGGGTAAGGGTGCTTCAACCCTATGAAATGGCTATACTTTGATAACCGGTCAACCACTACGAGCACTGAATTGATCCCCTTGGAGAGCGGTAGCCCCTCCACGAAATCCATAGATATATCCTCCCAAATAGCCTCCGAAATTGATAAGGGTTGCAACAACCCCAACAGACTCCGCTGAACCGCCTTACTCCGTTGACAAGTCTCGCACTTCCGCACATAGTCATCCACTGCCTGTCGCATCCCCACCCAGAACCAATCGGCGGCGAGACGGAGGTAGGTCTTGACCTCCCCTTCGTGGCCGCCAGAAGCCGTGTCATGATACTCGTGAAGTAGAATTGGGATAAATCTAGAGGAATTAGGCAAAACCAATCTCCCCTTGAACATAACCTTCTGCCCATCTAAATGAAAGCCTATTGGGCTCTCCTCACCCCTCAGCATGCCCGTTTTGATTTGGGCCAGCCATATGTCTTTCTCAATTTCCCCTTCCAATTCCTTCCAATCCACCACTTGAGAATGAACCATTACACTCAATTGCACTCTTCCCTGATCTCTTCGTGAAAGAGCATCGGCAACACGATTAGATGCTCCCGGTCGATATTGCACCTCAAAATCGAACCCCACTAGCTTTCTCATCCACTTTTGATACTCACCTCCCACCTCTCTTTGTTGCGTGATGTACCGAAGACTTTGTTGATCGGTCCGAACTACAAAGTGTCTACCAAGGAGGTAGTGTTTCCACCTTACAATAGCCAAGCATATTGCCATGATTTCTTTCTCGTAAATTGATTTCTCCTTAGCCCTCACCCCCAATAACTTGCTAAAATACGCTATGGGTCTTCCATCTTGCATCATAACCGCTCCCACTCCGAAACCCGAAGCATCGGTTTCCACCACAAAATCCTTGGTGAAATCGGGAATGGCAAGGACGGGGGCCTTAACCATGGCTTCTTTAAGGCTCTCAAATGCTTGAGTGGCTTCCAAGGACCACCCAAAACAATCTTTCTTCAATTGTGAGGTGAGTGGTGGCGCAATTTGGGCATAATTTGCCACAAACTTGCGGTAATACCCGGTTAATCCTAAAAACCCCCTTAATTCCCTCAAATTTTTAGGAGTTTCCCACTTCATAATGGCTTCAACCTTCTCTCCGTCCATTACCACTCCATGGGCCGAAATTATGTGGCCAAGGTAGGCCACCTTCTTTTGCCCAAAATCACACTTCTTGAGGTTACCATAGAGGCTATTTTCGGCCAACCTCTCTAGCACCAACCTCACGTGCTCCTCATGATCTTCC